GAAATCCACCAAAAAATCCCAGCATCCCCTGGTCCCCATACACTCAGAAAGTGCTGACACAAGTGCAAGAAAGCTGACTACAAATACATATTATCAAGCAGAACAAAACTCCATCCAGAACTGATTACTTTGTAGAATTCCTGATCAAGATCTGAGCTTCAGGCTCTAATAATCCACTTTGATACTAATACACTTTCAGCAAAATGTTCAAGGGAAGGAAGTTGTTCCTCTTAACCAACTCCTGTTCAATTGCATATGAGATTTAATGGCAGAGGAAGTAAAAAATGAAGTTGATATATCTCAGAATGAAAACCTTTGGAAAAAATCCTCCAGAGTGCATTGGGTCTTTTTTCCCCAAGGCTTTATTTTGAAAAGTATCACTAACACCTCCACAGTATTCTTTATGCACTAAGCAAAAGCTGAGGATAAATCAGCAGTGAAGAATAGTACACAGTTGTTAATGAAAGACAGATTTTACAAGCATTCCTTGAGCCACTTCTGTCTCTGCAAAATACAATATCAGATATGGAGGGGACCACATTCAGTCATCCATTGCCAACTGAATCTATGTATTCACTACATCAGTGCATATAACACTTTGAAATGTATTTAACACTTGTCATTCTCTGAATTTCAGCTACCCTGAATCATTACGATGGCCTAAAGATGCCAACTTTGGTCTGTTGCATGCTCTTCTGTACACGAGAGTTCTCCAAGCAACAGTACAGTATTTAACAATAACACAAAGAAAATTAAAAGTCTGAGAACAACTCAAATCTATAATGGTCTCAAATTCTTTTACAAACACTGCAATAAACCCTATTTTTGAGGGTTGTAAAATTAAAAAGTATTGATTTGGGAATTCCTAGAAAATGGTCTTAAATTAAGCCAATGGATGGATATCCCGGGAAACTACAGAGCACAGACCCACGAATCAAGATAATTTCTTTCACTGCGCAGCAAGGCCTAAAACCCATGACATTAGCAAATTCATTTATGCACTAAAAAGCCTAAGCTCCTCACACATTAACATCTTACAAAAACTTCATAGTCAGAATGGGTTTTCACCCTAAGAAGACACATCTGTGTGACGGCCAGAATGGCATTACTTTTCTATTCTAAGTGAGCTCTCAGTAAATAAACATTGACTTATACACAAAGCTGCCCCTTTTATTTATGCCAAAGAACAATAAAAAAGCAATGGCTCTAGGTTCCCCTTCAAGAAAGAGATAAGAAGTACCAAATAGTTATCAACTATGTTTATTTTTATGTTGTCAATTGTGTTTATTTTTATGCATTAAGCAGAACTCTGATGTCTAAAAAATACCACAGCCCCTCTAGAGAAAGACTGTCTTCCACAGAGAATACGTAACAAGTAGTTGGAAATCCTACCAAAGACTCCTACTTTGAGCTCCTGAATAATATATTGACTTTACAAAGCTGCTGGAAATCTTTTAAAAGTTGTTATTGTTATAGGAAATAGTTCTATATCAACACAGAACTGTTCTTTTGGTTATCATCCAGATTGTAGAATTTGCTAAAGTATGCAGCCTGGATGTGAGAAAGTTAAAATCCCACTCTCCTGGCAACAGTTCCCAAAAAGTTATCTGCTTATATGAAATGAACAAGATGTTCTGACAGTGCACAGTTCACACTTGATACGCTAATCAGTCTACAATACCGCTCTTTTCTGCTCTTTTTTTCATCTGAAGTGTAATTCTTCACAGAAAAAGCACCTGTAATTTTACAGAGCAGATAAAAATCCTCTTCTTGTTTTGGCTAAATAAACACAATATCATGACACTATTTTTTTTTTTTTAACCAACAAAGTCTTAAAACTAATTTTACTGTATTACCTTCAGTTCTATATTTAATACTGTTATGAAATTCCATTTTTCACTTACAATACTTATAGTTAAAACACAACAACAAAATAGTGTCTTTTTCAGAAATGCACTGACTTGAAAACAGCTACAAGCAATACACCAATCCTGAAATCACCAGATTAAATGGCAGGCCTCAATTATGTATGGCATTTCCACACAAACAGCATCTCTGTGTGTGAAAAGGATGCTCGAACAGCTCAGGGAAATGTAGTTTTCTTGGTCTGTCTTGGATAATGTTAGAGGTTCGTTAGCCAGTTCCCCCAAAACTGTCTCTCCTGCCAGTCTGCTGTTCCACATTTATCACTAAAGACTAGTAGTTGGCCAAACCCGTGCACTGCATCCTGCTTTAGTGTTGAACTGCAGTGATGAACTGCATGTCCAAGAGCAGTGACTCCCCAGCGGTGACTCTGCCTCTACCTCACCTCTCATTACAGCCCGCGTAGAGTCCCCACCTTGCCAGTCGGCAGCAGTACTTGTTTGGGGGCGTTGGAGTAGCATCTGGCATTACAGTGCATGACTGGACACTAGATGACTGGACGCCAGCCTTTCATCAAAGCAGACCAAGTCACAAGAGAAATTAATTCACCCATGAGCTTTACACTCAGTTTACATCAAGTTCAGCTAGCTTGTTCACTGTTACACAACAAAAACACATAAGCAATGCTTTTCCACAGTCCTCAAGCAAAACACTGCCACGTCTTGCACGATCCACATTGCTGCTGTGGACCACAGGCACAAAACCAGGCAGTAACTTTCCCAGGTGACTCAGAAGCGGATGATCACATCTGTCCTGGCTCATACCCAGGGTTGTGAACCACTCATTTCTAGTAGCACTAACAATAGTCTTATGTTTAAATTAAAATCCATTTATCTGATACTGAACAGCCACATTAGAGACGTTCATTTAACTGTCTGAAGACATCTCCTTAGAAAGGGAGCTACACTACTCTCCCCAAACTTCTCTCATTGTTTGCAAGCCGGAAAGCAGAGATCACTAAATGCTATCAGAAAACAGGGAGTACCCCCAACATTTGTGTGATACCGCCAACTAGTGCTTTCAAGACATACTTTAGAAAATATGAGCATCCCAAACAAAACTGGCCTTTAAATATATCTTAAAAAGTCTTACAGTGGTATAGGATAGATTCTAGAAAATACCATTAGGATACTGCATAGTGCCCAATCCTGGCATTTCTATTCTTAGCAGAGGAGTTCTAATGAAAATTAAGTGGATTTGCTGTAGTCAGTCTATAAGCAAGTTCCAATATAAACAACAATTTCTTCTCACAGTATTTCTACCAGGTAGTCACAGAGGGTTATCGTTTCTTCAGTAAAAGCTGCTTCTTTATGTAACGTACATTCTGTTCCCTGTTTTGATTTTGAGTCCTTCAGCCCTTTATATTATTCAGTTTATCTTTTTTTTAATACATTTCTTTAACTTTCATTTTCAAAAGAAGGAGTAAGAAAGGCTCATGATAATTTCCAAGTGTTCGTGGAGAACACTGTGAATGCAGCACACTGAGTTTAGGCTTTATATGATGGTACTTGAGAACTGGTAAATTTATAACTAATTTCGTCTCAAAACTATACCCAGTAATGCCACTACTTCTTTTCATTGCAGCCAAGAGTAACTCTAGTTATTTGGAAAACAATAGCATATAATTGTTTTTTTAGACTCATACGTATATACAAACATATTGCCTACAATTTCAAAGATTGAAAAGACTTGCAGGCTGAACTCCAAGCTCTTAGAGAAGTGTTACAAAAGTCAGAAGTATTTGGCATGCAAAACTGCACAAAATTCACAAATACTTGCAAAATGGATGTTTAAATGAACTGTCTAGAACCACATTTAACACTGTTAATCATGTAGTATCTCTTAAGTATGTATTATAAGTCACAAGTTAAAAGATAAGAAAGCGACACATAGCAACGCTCAAAGGGCACAAGATTGGAGGAAAAAGACCCTGTACACCAAATAACAAAGGCTGGAACATGGCAGGTCTCATTTCATACTAAAATGGTTTCAGCATAAATGAGAAGGGTTCAGTGTGGAGCACTAACTGCAACAGGCAGAACTACCCTGTGTAGCAAAATGTCCCACTTCCATTCCTTATCCTCTATGTTGTAAGTACTTACAGAATTCTCACAACAAACAAAAAAAGGGAAAAAATATTGCAGAAAAAGAGAGAGAGATTACATGCACAGAGAGGTTTTTCAGCATTTGCTATTGCTCCGAATGATGTCTTCTAAAAGGGAACACGCTGGGCGCTTCCCTTAATGTGGAGGGACTGGCATCGAACAGTGACAGCATTTGGGGAAGAAAAAAAAAAAAATCAGATGTTTTAGTTAAATGGCTACTGCCCCCTCAAAGCCAAACTGTAGGCCATGTACAACGGTAATGCTCACAGCAACAGGTATAGCTGCCAGGTAACCCCATGCAACAGAACACTGACACCTCCACAGCACTTCTGGCACAAAGTGCTTTTCACCCCGGGTGTCTCTTGGGTGTCTTCACGTTCCCGTCACCCACAACTAAAACCAGCATCCAGAAAAACCAGCTGGTTTAACACCAACCCTTAATAATTACAACAGAGCCTAACTGAACAAAAAATGCAAAGGAATAATGATTGTACTGATGTTTTATTGCTGAAGATTAAAGTTAAGAGCTTTTGTATCCTATTTAAACCTGACCACTTTAACCAGTATGTATGTACTGAAATAGAGCTTTT